TGCTTTTAAATTAAATATGTATGGCATGAGGCTGGATAATAGTGCAGATGACAATTTTTAAGTGTGTTGTCACTAATATACAGTTTGTTGCTTCCAATAATGACAGTGTAGGCAAATGTGATTTTTATATTTTTAGGACAGTATGACTTTGGTTTAGATTGTAACATCTCTGCACAGTTTTAGCTTATTACAGAGCAGCAGCTCTTCTGTTGTTAAGGTTGAGAATCATTTACTGTTTAACAGTCTTTTCTAAGTGCTCTAAAATCTATAAGCTTACATTCTGTTCTGTTATGTTCATGTATTTATATTATGCCCATCACTGTAGTGACTGAACATGTTCAAGTAGTGCAGCCAGCAGCATGGCTACATATCTGTTGCATGTTGTTTGTTCTCTTATCCTCTCCCCAGAGGGAGGAACAACTGGAATGGACTGCCTTGTTTTGGTGGGGTGTTTTTTTGGTTAAACATATCTCCTGCTATGTGTTTATATTAAAGAGGGCAAAGTCAAAGAAATGCACCTTGCACTGCAAGTGGAAAATGGTGAGTTTTGTGTTCCAGGAGGGAGTGACATGTTCATTCCACAGCTTCAGACTGACCCAGAAAATAGTTCTGCCTCTTGCATAGGAAAACTTTATTCTTACTCTGGGGTGGGCAAAAGGGCCTCGGCGGGCTGGATCTGGCCTGCCAAGTGGGTGGATCCGGCCCGCAGAGGCACTGCTGCTCCCCCGCCCTCAGGCCAATTAGGGCCTGGGGAGGGGGGAAACGCCCGAAGCCTTCCCCACTCTGCCCCCGCCCTGCACGCAGCACACAAAGCCTTCTCTGCTCTGCCCCTGCTCTGCAAGCAGGGCGGGGGCAGAGCGGAGAAGGCTTCGTTTGCATGCTCCCTCGCCCCCAGGCCCTAACTGCCAGGAGCACATGGTGCTTTGAAGCGCTGCACACTGCTCGCAGGGCAGGGGGAGAACAGAGGAGGCTTCGCACGCTTCCCCGCCTCCAGGCCAATCAGAGCATGGAGGCGGGGGAGCTGCATGAAGATTCCTTTGCCGTGCCCCAGCCCTGAGAGGAGCCCAGCAGCACTTCAAAGTGCCACGTGCTCCTCGCAGAGTGGGAGGAGCCTTTCCGCGCTCTCTCACTCCCAGACCCTAATTGGCCTGGGGGAGGGGGAGTATGCCAAGCCTCTTCCAGGGCATGGGTGCCTAGTGGGAAGGAAGGGGCAAAGAGGCTTCCCCACCCCCAGACCAATTATGGTCTGGGGGTGGGGTAGCCCCGCCCCTTTCCATTTAGGCCCCACCCCTTTCTATTTAGGCCCCGCCCCTTCCATGGTGGCCTGAGGCCACTTCAGAAATTTTTGAAGTGGCCCTCAGGTAAAAATTATTGCCTACCCCTGCTGTTACTGTTGGAAATGTCCACTGTGCCGAAGGAGCAAAAATATTGCTCGCGGGTTTTGTCCCAGAAGTATCTTGGGCACAATGTGTGGAGCACTTTGAAGTAAGGATCAAGTGTTTAAATCTGATTTGAAATTCTGTGGAAGCCAATGTAAAGAGGACAAGTGTGATGTGGTCATGGTAGCCTGTGTGACTAAGGAGACATGCACAGCAGTTTGATTCAGTTGGAATTTTCTGAGTTCTGAAGGCTTCATGACTGAATATTAGAAAAAGACATATATATACAGACTCATACTTTCAAATCATCAGTGACCTTGAAGTAGATACACAGAGGGCTTTATATAAAAACCTGTGTATGCATGGCTGCAAGCTTTACTTCCTATCCATTATGAGACAGATATGGCCAGATTAATAAATAAATTTGTTACGGGAAGGCCAATTTGTACAAATAGTGCCATATTCTAGTTTTAATGAAATTTCCTTTTTATATTGAGAGGCCTGATTCCCAGTTTCAATCCTGGCTTTGCCTTGTTAGTACCGCTTAATAGCATTTATTGGAAGAAAAATTACATAGAAATAGAAAATTTATAATTTGTAAGTCTATGAGTTGTTAGTAGAACATATGTCAATTATAAGTTATTGCTCTATTACCAGTGATTCTCTCCCTAACAGTACGTTTATGCATGTTTATCAAAGGTGATTGAAGAAATAGAGGAAATGATGCAGGAATCACCTGACCCAGAAGACGACGAAGCACCCACGCAGTCAGACCGGCTTTCCATGCTTTCCCAGGAAATACAAACACTCAAGAGGTCCAGTACAAACAACAGTTATGAAGAGAGTAAGGGATATCTATTTATCTTGAGTATATTTGTAACTTCTTGAAAATAGGTAATGGTTCAAACTGCCCTACAGTTGATCTATAACCATTTCCATCTTTGAAATCATCTGCCTTTGACAAGGCAGTCAGAAAATCTTGAAAGGGAAAGTAAACTAGAATTAGTATGATTTCAACTTAAAACCCTCTAAACTTTGCTAAGAATATGTTTGCTTAGAACAGAATATAAAACCTTATCTTTACAATATTTAAAACAAAAGCAGCTGTATTTAAGTTTAGCATGCCGCATTTTACTGTTTACAGGATATGTAATCTTTGTAACTTTTAATATGTTAAAGCATAGAATGTGTCTGACATCTGCTAGTGTGCACTATATTCATTTAGAGAAATGACCTAAAGTTAGTAGAAGTAGAAAGCTTTGTACAAGATGAAGAAAAAGTTCTTCCATGATGTATTTTCTGTTACTCTGGTTTCTCTATTATAGTATAAACAAGAGAAGAAACAGATTCAGTTATAATCAGTGCTTCTGCGACTGCATAATGAGCTTGACTAATAGTCTCTGGTGAAGGTGGTTGTGAGAGTTTCACCTTTACTTTCATAGATTCTTTTTTTTAGCGATTTTGGACATTGTTGGTTCTTCAGGTAGATGATCACTAGGCATGTAAAATCCAGTTTAATTGGTTAATCTGTTAAACATATTGTTTAACTGGTTAACTGATTAAAGGAAGCAGGACGGAAGAGCCGCTCTAGCTGAGCTGGAGGAGCCCCCTTGTCTGCTGCTGGGCTGCTTCAGCTCCCACAGTAAGCAGCGTATTGGTTAACTAATTAAACAGTTACATCCCTAATGCTGACAAGTTTTCCACTTAGGTATGTGCATCCAGTGCTGGAGGTTTTACTGCTAAAAGTACCCATAAAAAGGCAATGCTCATGGTTGTTACTCCTCTTCTGTCTTATGAGGCAGTACCACCCTGACCCTCTCCCTCAGTTCCTTCTCACTGCCCGTGGCTATAGTCAAAGCTATGTGTGGTAGTAATCTCACAGCCTTGCCTTTAATCTTAGCTTGGTTTATTGTAGTCAGTGGATAGTGTCCCACGGCAATGCCCTCATTGGGAGTCAAACATCCATCCTCTTTTGAGTGGAGAGGCTTTCCATGCCAGTGACCTCCACGTGCAGTGCTTGCTTTGTCTAGGTGAGGCCCATCTTAAAGAGCATTGTTCAGTCTGTAGATCATTCAAAAAGCAGACTCAGGTGGCATGGGACCCTTATCTCAAACAGCATCCACTTGAACCATGGCCCTCTTTGAGCCAAGATTGCCCTTTGCTCAGAAAGCATCACTGCCTCTTTTAGGGGACAAGCACTAATCTAAAGAGGCAGAGGAGCTGTTCTCAGTCATCAGTGCTGATGAAGATGTCTCATAAGACCAGTTGAGACCACTCCAAGTAACCTGGCAACTCCTCTGCCTCCCATAGGAACAGCGTGTACTAGTGCAGGACCAGTTCTGGTACAGAAGATGGCACAAGTATCTCTGGTCACTACCTGGCATTGAGTAGGAAGGGTAGAAATCCCTTAGCTTTAACCTTAGCTCTGACCTCCAGATGTCCATTGAGTGTGGTACTGACAAGGGCAATGCCAGTACTGCCTGTATCTGTTGTCAATGTTCCAGGCTACAGCAGATCTGTTCTACCTTTCCATTCCATCCTAACCACCGATCCAGAACTTTCCAAGACGCGTGCCTTTAGTAGCCCCTCCAATGAAGTAACTCCCTAAATCTTCATGCCCCTTAATACTGCACCCAGATATTCCCCACCCCACAGTGGGCATAGAGCTGGTACCAGAATCATTGTGGAAGGACCTCAGCAACAGAGCTCTCATTGCTCAGCATTTGACACCACAAATGGTCCTATTACAGCTTGTCCATGGTGGGCCCTCTGCAGAGCTATTTCAGCACCTTGCCTGAGGCAGATGGGCAGCAGCTCCTGGCTCAACCGGTTAGCATTACCCAGTTAGGGTGATGCTTACTGGGTAGACCAGTGTTTCTTAAACTGTGTTCCGTGGTACACCGGTGTGCCACGGAGAACAACAGAATTCAAAATGGCCGCCCTTAAAGGAGCAGGTGACCTTTTTTTTCCCTCAATAACTTCCCCCCGCCCTCAACAAAAAATCCTTGGTGTTCCTCATTAAAAAAAATATTGTTTGGTGTCCTCAGTCTTAAAAAGTTTAAGAAACACTGGGGTAGATGGTTAACCTTTCACATCCCTAGTCCATGCAAAGATGCTGATATGGGGCTCACAAGCAGCAAAGTATCCTCTGCAGTATTCCTGTGTGAAACCCTCCTCCCTCCCTCCCCCTGAAAACAGCAGGATTATCTTCGAAAGAAGGCTTGATACTACAAGAGGAAGCAGTCAGCCCCAGGCTTCAGAGTCTGGTAAGTGCCCATTTTGACTTCTTAGTCCAGAGCATTGCACCCCGCTCTTCATCCTCCCTGTCCTTTTGGGAACAGGCTAGCCCATTTTTACAGGGCTTGGGACAGTTATCTCTAATAGCTGAGTCCTAGATCCTGTTAGATTGGGCTACACAATCCAGTGCTTCTCCATCCGTCCTCCTCATGCCTCTCCCCATCCCTCTTCAGGAACCTTTCTAATGAAACACTGCTCATCAAGTAGATCACCTCTCTGCTGATGTTGGGAGTGGGAGAGGAAGTTCTGCCAGGATACCAGTGCTGGGACTTTTACTCTTAATATTTCCTGATAGCAAAATCCAAAAGCGGATGAGACCCATCCTCAATCTTCATGGCCTCAACAAGTTCATAACACAGATGAGGTTCTGCGTGGGCACTCTGTTGGCTGTCCTCCTTACACTTACTCAGAATGACAGGTTCTTTTCCCTGGACCTCAAAGACACTTACTTTTGTGTGGTGATTCTACCAAGCCACAGGATGTTTCTTCTTTCTGCAGTGGGAGAGCATCACTTTCAGTATACAGTTCAGTCTCTTGTCTGCCACCTGAGTCTTCACCAAATGCATAGAATTGTAGAAGACTGGAAAGGATCTCGAGAGATCATCATAGAATCATAGAATACTAGGACTGGAAGGGACCTTGAGAGGTCATCGAGTCCAGTCCCCTGCCCTCATGGCAGGACCCAATACTGCCTAGACCATCCCTGATAGACATTTATCTAACTTACTCTTAAATATCTCCACAGATGGAGATTCCACAACTTTCCTGGGCAATTTATTCCAATGTTTGACTACCCTGACAGTTAGGAACTTTTTTCTAATGTCCAATCTAAACCTCCCTTCCTGCAGTTTAAGCCCATTGCTTCTTGTTCTATCCCCAGAGGCCAAGATGAACAAGTTTTCTTCCTCCTCCTTATGACACCCTTTTAGATATCTGAAAACTGCTATCATGTCCCCCCTCAATCTTCTCTTCTCTAAACTAAACAAATCTAATTCCTTCAGCCTTCCCTCATAGGTCATGTTCTCTAGACTAATCATTCTCGTTGCTCTTCTCTGGACCCTCTCCAATTTCTCCACATCTTTCTTGAAATGCAGTGCCCAGAACTGAACACAATACTTCAATTGAGGCCTAACCAGCGCAGAGTAGAGCGGAAGAATGCCTTCTCATGTCTTGCTCACAACGTACCTGTTAATGCATCCCAGAATCATGTTTTCTTTCTTTGCAACGGCATCACACTGCTGACTCATATTCAACTTGTGGTCCACTATAACCCCTAGATGCCTTTCTGCCATACTCCTTCCCAGACAGTCGCTTCCCATTCTCTATGTATGAAACTGATTGTTCCTTCCTAAGTGGAGCACTTTGCATTTGTCTTTATTAAACTTCATCCTATTTACCTCAGACCATTTCTCCAATTTGTTCAGGTCATTTTGAATTATGACCCTATCCTGCAGATTAGTCGCAACCCCTCCCAGCTTGGTGTCATCTGCAAACTTAATAAGCGTACTTTCTATACCAATATCTAAATTGTTGATGAAGATATTGAACAGAGCGGTCCCAAAACAGACTCTTTCGGAACCCCACTTGTTATGCCTTTCCAGCAGGATTGTGAACCATTAGTAACTACTCTCTGAGTATGGTTATCCAGCCAGTTATGCACCATCTAAGTTGTATTTACCTAGTTTATCAAGTCCAGTCTTTTGCACTCATGACTGACTAATGATTATTTAGACCATCCCTGACAGGTGTTTGTCTAACCAACTCTTAAATACTCCTAAATAACAGATTCCACAACTTATCTTGACAATTTATGCTGGTGCTTAACTAACATGACAGCTTTTCCAAATGTCCAACCTAAACCACTCTTGCTGCAATTTAAGCCCATTGCTGCTGCTTCTATCCTCAGATGTGACTGAGCACAACAGTTTACCTTCCTTTTCCTTGTAACAACCTGTTATGTACTTGAAAATTGTTACATCTCCCCTCCGTCTTTTCTTCTCCAAACTAAACAAACCTCTTTTTCAATGGCTTTGTCATGGCATATCTCAGGAGGACAGGAATTCACATCTTTTCATAATTCAATGATTGGTTGCTAAAGGGCGGCTTAAGAAAGGAGATTCTTTGCCCACGTGAACATTGCACTGTGTTTGCTTGACCATCTGGGACTCATTCTAAACACTGGAAAGCTAACTTTGGCTCCCACTCAAAAAAACCAAGTTCCTTGGGCCCCTGTTAGATTCCACAAGGA